TGAGTATGCATGTCCTTCCTCACTTATGTCCTCTATATGGATAATATCCATATCACAGAAAACCATTAGACATTATCCTAACTATCTTTTCAGATTTTGTTCAATTTTATTAAGCACAATTAAAATTAATTATGACTAAAGATTTTTTTAAATGAATAGGATGCAATTGATAGCTATAATATAGGTTCATTTTCTTGTTCCCACAAATTACAAAATTATGCTTATGTGCTTAACTGTTAAGAGATACTTCCTTATTTATTTTATATACGATTAAATACATTTGCTCACATACATTGTTATAATTCGAGTGTCACAATTATAATTCACTTTTAAAGTTTTGATAATCTTGCTTAACTGTTTTATAATGTCAAGAACAAGTATTTAAGTCCTTTCAGTGAAAAACGAGCAAGGGTAAGATAAATATTCCTTGTAAATCACCCTTATAAAAACCATAAATTACACTTATATCACCGTAAACAAAGCAACAAATATTTCCAGCAAGACGGAGCAAATTGCCAAACTCGATAACCGTAGCCTATAATGTGCACAAACTGACTAAACGAAATTTCAGAAGACGCTGGTCTAGAACGCCCACGTCAAGATACTTTGTGTTTCCATTTGATTTCTGATTTGATGTGCACGATGCAGCTTAAACTGTTCACTTTTTCTAGCGATAAGATTACGATGGCGCTGGAGTGGTTCGATATTGGCGACTTTGTTAAACGGCAATACTACACATGTGTATTGGGGAATCGGGGAATATGTTACTGCCACCGTCTCAAAAATTCTACCTGAAGTTGGAACCCAACAAGCGATGCGAAAGACAAACCCGTGAGTAAAAGGAAAATACTATAACTACTGGCCCACTCTTATCTATCATAGTCTTTGTCATTGAACTATCACAAAGCAAATTATTTAGATTAGATTTAGTCGTCGGGTAATTACATGAAAATGGAGAGGGAGGCGGGTCCGTCTGAAGATCTTTATAGACTAAAACTGAGAGGCTGTAAAAACAAGTGAATCATCAAAGACTTGTGGATTCTAAATGCATTCTATTAAAATTACTTCTTTAGTCATTTCATTTGACATGTATTTCTGTTGACATGAATTCTAGAAAGCTAAACTCTTTTCAATATATTACAATTTTACACTTGCAAATTTAACTGTGTAATTGTTAATTACACCAATTCAAGACAATCTTTGCAAAATTCTAAAAACTGCGCTGAAAAAATTTTGTTCGAATTTAAAGACAATTTATAGGGCTTTATTAAAAACTGTCAAAATTATTTCCTAGGAAGCCACTCAAGTTTGTTTGTATATATCAGTTGATCACTTGAATAAATACCCCAATTTCATCACAATAACTGAGGAGTATGTATTTAGCTGTTGAACTCTATATTGTATTGTATTTTTCGGGCGAGCCTTAAATAAACGACAGTCTAGATTCAGAAAAGAAAAAAAGTTGGAGCGGATTCTTTCCGGTAATCCTGTATATACATATATCCCAAATTTGCACAGCACTTTATATTTATTCTAACGAGTGGCGTAAGTATTGATGTACATAAGGCAGAAAATTTGTTTTATGCAAGTCGAGGACAATAGATTTCTTCTGCGGTTTCAAGTTGATTTGTGGCGTGTGGGTATTTGTATACCTTTCAACTGTTAACACAATACAGTCACTATAACACACTTGACTGTCGCTAATGCGGAAATTTATGCTCCAAGCTCCACAAGTCGTGTGTTATCGCGCCGGTAACTAAGCTCGTTATGGGGGAGAAATCGTCATCTACATTCGTTCTTATAGAATAATTAAATAAAAAATTGAATTGGAGGGTTCCAAAGCTAGCTACATCAATAAGTTCGTACAAATTTTGTGGATTTGTAAGTGTTGCGCACAGGCAAATCAAATGTGAATCATTATTGTCGCTAATAATGTCATTTTTCAATGGATCATCAAAATGGCAGAGATTATTTTGCACGCTGCACTAAAAAAGAGACATGGCGGAGTGAACAAGCTTTAATTATCAATGAAAACGTGTGGATCACTGAGTTTAAGTGAGAAACTGGTTCCCTTTAGAGATAAGGCTAGCATATGACCAAGATATACATTCTGTTTTTAAATATGCATAAACAAAGAATTCTCTCTGCATTGACATGGATGTGGGAGGACGGTAAACATATCGACAAAATAAACATATGTACTTTCCCGGCCTTTAATCAAGCTTTAACCCTGAAATACTCATCATTTATTTGTATATTTGTCAACACTGTAAACCCCTTTTTCTGAGGAAATTCTCTGTTTTGATTTCTCTTCAATCTTTATAGGCTGATAATGTACTTGTAAAACCAGAGCTACTAAATACCACATGTGTACATATATACTTCTTATTTACCAACATAGAAAATCAAAACCCTTCGATTCTCCATTAAAATTATTAAACAAGATTGAAGCCGCGAAACCAGTTTGCAAAACAAGTTATCATTGTTTTGTTGTTTAACGAACTCTAGTTGATTTGTTATTCTATATGTATTTACCGCTGATAAAGAGCAATACACGCATATTATTATAGTGCTAAGCGCACAGATTTCAGATTAGATTTAGAACTGTTGAAAATTTATCAAATATGGCCGCTATAAGTGACGTGTGGATGATAATCTTATACTAGGTTAGTTATGCCGCATGCTAAAAGCTCAAGGCGGAAATAGGAAGTAGAACTATAGTACACAATATTTTCTTTGTAGATATATTCAAATAACTCTTTTTTTTTTAATTGGATTGTCTTTGTATTAAACAGCCAAGTGATAAATTGAAATGTTCGACAAAAGAATTCCCGAACATTTTTTTTATTTGATACAAATGCATGTCTGCACTGATAAGCACCACCCAGCTGAGACGATTTATATACGAATATTTGGGTTTATTGTTCCTGTTCTTTGTGTTACAACGTAACAAATTCATATAAAATATATAGTAAATTGTGACATAATCATAAAGTTACTATAGCACCAGCAATTTTCACTGTATTTCAGACTTTGTTTAAACTCGATTCTTGTGAAATCTATTCGGATTATTATGTAGTTATTTTTACCGTAATTTAAATTGCAGCAGGAACGGGTTAACGTGCTCTTATCAATTTTATGGTTGCGAGCAATACACCAAACTTTCGGTTTTGTTTCTATTGGCTTTTGTGCGGTCGCGAAATTGTTTGATAAATTACTTTCCTATTGCGTAGTAGCGATCATTGGCACCCGTTTTACTCCGCAGTAATAGCTGGGATTCACTTATATATCGTTTGGGCTCTTCCAAAAGTTAAATATGTATTATCATGGCCCCGCGGAATTCACGGGTTTAATACCTTCGCACCGCGCGTCGCTTTACTGAAAGTTACAAGCTCGCTAAAAACATATGCATTTATACATTTGTTTACTTTGGTCGAGTGCCGTGCGGAAAATACAATAACAACAATATGGTGCATTTGGGATGGAAAAATAAAACAAAATGTCGAAATATCGATAGTTTTGAGCGTATCGTATGCTAAATTTATCACAGACTTAAACCCAGGTTGAAAACTATAATATTAGAGGGGAATTCCAGAAAGGGGATATTTGATCCTTCTATGAAAATTTAATTCTATTTTAAATTTTATTGCAAAAGGAATTGGCCAAATCAATACTGAGTATAATTTATTTAAAATAATTGGAAATTAAAACATGCCTTTTTTTTATTTCTATCTGCAAGAAAAGCATGAAAGTCGAAATTATAGACCACTTAATATATTATAAAAGCATCTTTGCAATTTTGCTATAAGTTAACTCAGTTAAAACAAGAAAGGAAAGCTAACTTCGGGCGGAGCCGAAGTTGAAATACCCTTGCAGAATATTCTGCAAATTATATTCTCCAAAATTATTCATATGATGCATTTTTAATACTCATAAAAAATCCCACCTTCCTAACTTTAAAAACACCAAAGTTATTTCATTTCCGAACAATCAGTTATATGGCAGCTATAGGATATAGTAGGCCGATCCTTATGAAATTTAATATGTCGAATTGATTGGGCAAAAATAAAACCCATAGAAAATCCCAACTTCCTAACTTTACAAACACCAAAGTTATGGCATTTCCGATCAATCAGTTATATGGCAGCTATAAGATATAGTCGGCCGATCCTTATGAAATTTGGTAGGTCGGATTGATTGGCCAAATATAAAACCCATAGAAAATTCCAACTTCCTAACTTTACAAACACCAAAGTTATGGCATTTCCGATCAATCAGTTATATAGCAGCTATAGGATATAGTCGGCCGATCCTTATGAAATTTGGTAGGTCGGATTGATTGGCCAAATATAGAACCCACAGAAAGTCCCAACTTCCTAACTTAACAAACAGCAGAGTTATGGCATTTCCGATCAATCAGTTATATGGCAGCTATAGGATATAGTCGGCCGATCCCGGCCGTTCCGACTTATATACTGCGTGCAAAGGAAAGAAGGGCGTGTGCAAAGTTTCAACTCGATAGCTTTAAAACTGAGAGACTAGTTTGCGTAGAAACAGACAGACGGACAGACGGACAGACGGACAGACGGACATGGCTATATCAACTCAGGAGGTGATCCTGATCAAGAATATATATACTTTATAGGGTCGGAGATGTCTCCTTCACTGCGTTGCACACTTTTGACCAAAATTATAATACCCTCTGCAAGGGTATAAAAAGTGTTAAGCACCGTTTTTACTATTTGTCTCCATAATCGGCAAGAATATTAAATTTTCTTCAGTCTAACTTATTATTAATTTAGAAAATTGGTCTTTAATAAGATTTGTATAAAAAAGTATTTCATTGTTTAAACTTATAACGAATAAAAATCCCATAATTATTCGTAATCTTTTCGTTTAAATACGCGCCCATTTACTCATTCGTGATCGTGTCACGGCAAACAAACCTGCCCATCCTTAGCTAAATCGATTGTTCATGAATCATACCCAATGTAATCGAACACATTATTGCACATTTGACACCACTAGTATTTACGCGTATCAAGCGTAAAACTCAATTAAAAATTGATTTGGACTTAAATTAACAGTGTGATTATGTTTATTAAATACCAGGCGACAGCAAAATGTTAAATGCCGTGCCTTTAGCGCTAGTGCGGCAGCTAGTGACGTCACACGAGTAGAAATCAACCAAAATAAATCAGTGGGGCGCCGCAGAAACAAAAGGGGAATCAATAACAAAAAAGAAAGAAAAACGTAATTTTGTGAACAATTTGCATACGGTTGGGTGGTTAGGTAATAGCGATAGCCATCAGAAACGCACAACACCTGAAATGAGTAAGCTGGAAACGGACTCGGACAGTTCAGAGGAGTTTTTCGATGCCGAGGACACTACGCCCAATCGTCATTCGACATTATGGTGGGTATTTGTGGGGTACTCTTTGGAAAGCTCTATCTAAATGATCCCACTTTCAGTCGAAAACTACCGCCTGAGGTTGTCCAGGAGTTCATCTTCCCCGATCCCGCCGTCCGAGTAAATGCGGCAGCCTCCTCCGACAGCGACGCGACGCCCATTGGCGCTGGAACGCCCGCCACCCGGAGTCCGACCAACAGCCTGGGTGCCCGACTAAAACAGCAGGATGCGGGATTGTTCGTTGAGCCCAAACCCGTGGCCGGATCAGTAAGTGGATGGGGTCTAAATGAAAGGTCTTAGTTTCCGTTTTGCTAGACCCAGTTATGATGTCATCGGATAGGGCGGTGATTTATCATGTATGGCCTTGGGAAACCATTTTCATACGGCAAAACCCTCATGCAGTTCACATGACATTTTTTTGTTTTTTTTTGTAGAATTTTAACTAGTTTTTGTAATGTTTCAGTTAATTTTTTTTAATGTTATTGACTTGGGACAACTGAACTGTCTTTAGTAAATCCAATATATACCATATTTGTGGTTTGTAAAGTTAGTCATTTTCCTTGTATATTCCTTTCAACCCAGTATAACATATACCAGTACTCATAGTATTATCAAAGCCAAACGCCATAAAATGTCTAATTGCTCCATTGGCGACCTTTATGAAAATATTGTATCACCTTCGAAGAAATTGATTAAAAACCGACATGATATGGCTTATAGACTTTACCCAGTTTTTATTTCCAAATGCGAAACCTTGTAAACGTAAATAAAATAAAGCAGTTATTTTTTTGGTTTATTTAGCAAAAAATTGTTTTCATGGTTATATAGCAAATTCATATCTACCCTCTTTGCATACATGGTTTTCGCAAATTATAATTCGGTGGTTTTCATTTTTCACTAGTTAAGTTTATTTGCAACATATTTATATGCCAAAAAGCACTATCTAATGAACAATAGACAAATCACCCCCTTAATTTTGTGTCCATATTTGTGTTCTTTACTTTCATATTTTCTCCGCCTCATTTCGTAAATCCTACGAATAAAAAACAATACCCATCTTTAAAAATGGAAATCAACTTAAACTTAAATCTCGACCAATGTTAAATATGCATACGTTCAAAAAATGACATAAATATCGCATATAGTATGGTAGACAGCGCTTTCACGAACTACGTCAGTGCATGCAAAACGATGAAGATGATAATCCAGGAAATACACTCACACCTGATTCTCAGGTATAAATTTTGTAATCTAGCCTGTTTGCTCAGCTTTTTCTTGCCATGGTTCTCCCAGGTATACTTACAAATTTAATTTAATTTACAGAATAGCTCAACGGATGGCATTTTTACCAACCGCTCGTCGCATCCGTTTAAAGTCATTGAGACAGATACGATGAGCATACAGAGCATGACATCACTGGGTCGCGTGGGCCGAATTTTGGCGGGCAGCATTGATCCATCTGGTGAGTAGATATGTGTATTTGCAAGCAAACAAAGCAGCCCCTGACAATTTTATTTTATCCGATCCCAGCTATCAGCATAGATCGCGAGTCTCTAGCCTCGTTAAATGCACAGCAGCAGAAGCAACAGGCCCAGCAGCAACAACAGTCGCTGCCTGCATCGTCTACTAGCTCTAACACTCCGCCAAGCACTGGAAACACTTCCTCTGGGATGAGCACGCCCAGGGTTTCGCCCAAGCATCAGCAGAGCGGTCAGGAGGCAGCGGCTACCACGGTAGGGATTCCAAGTGCTTCGTTCTCCATACAATCCTCATCTACTGGCGCCATAATGCTGCAGGAGCCGGATGTGATAGCAAGCACTAAGCTTGCCCAGTCCAAAACCACTGATTCCATTACCTTGTCTGGTCCCGTGGCGCCACCTCGAAGAAAAAAGAAGTCTCGAAATTGTTCCATTAGTTCCTCGGATCAGTACAGTTTGCCACCGGCGGACAATGAAGACACCGATAGTGATACCCGATCTGTGAAGAGTGTGCAGGGTCTTCAGCAAAAGTTGCGAGATGACTTTGTCATGGAGTTTGAGAGCTCCCTAAATAATGTAACCCCTTCAACCGCTAGCAGTACATTGACCTGCTCCTCCACTAATACGATTGTCTCGGCTTCGGCCTCGACTGCGGCAGCTTCTTCGTCCATGCCATCGACAAGTGCAATTCATATGCGTACCAATGCAGCTTCGGTAACAATTGGTGGACCAAAACCAACGCAATCTCTGGGCAGCAGTTCAACGTCGGTTCACTCAAAGCCAAGTCCATCGAACTCGGCGAAGAGTAACTCGGCACCAGGAAGGGTTAGGTAATTTAATAACATTAATGTTCATGCAGAAAGGATATTCACATAAAACGATCTCTTGCAGTTCCATCGATCCAAATCAGGGTCTGAACCTGTATAAGGCTATTCAGGGGGGTTATGTGGTCAAACCACGTGATGAGGCCAGCAACAAGGCACAGGGTCCGTCTCAGGATGAAATCGAGCGCATCGAGAAAATGTTAATGGAGAACGCAAATCGACCGAAGCTGGCGGGAACAGGATCAAACAGCTTGGGCAGCTCCACACGGTAAGTTATCTTGAATAATGTTTTATTTTTAGTTTATTCTCGAAATCCTAAATTTCCAGCTATCCCGGATTCTGTCGTGGTGTTAATGACAAGGAGCGTCGCAAGTCCGCTGGCGACGAGGATGAACTCAGGCAGATGAACATTTATGTGCGCACGCGAACCAGCTCTGGCAAACAGCTGACTGACTTTGAGATCCTTGAACAAGTTCCTGTTAAAAATTTAGATACAGGAGAAAATTTGCCGCTATCTGAAATGCGTTCACCACCAGTGCCTGAGGGATGGAATCCGCTCTCGCTACACATTCTAAAACTGACCTCCCATCTGGAGGCAATACAGAAGGAGTCCGACGAGGAGAGTGTGGTTGGCATACCGCCCAGTATCGAGGGTCAGCAGCCCGACGAAGAGGAGCTGGAGGCGGAGGATGGCAGTCGGCTGAAAAAGAAGACGGCCAGGATTAAACGCTTCTTCGGCACCACAATGCGAAAAACAGTGGACAAGGCCAAGTCGATTGCGTCAGAGGTGTCGCATGCGCGACACAAAGAAGATGTGGCTGATATTGTTGATGCTATGAATCCCGAGCAAAATATTAAAATCAAGGCTTCATCGTCCAACAAAGGTCCCTACGAGTTTACCAAGCTTCAGCATGTCCAAGATTTGAATGGCGAAGACAGAGGTGCTGTGTGGTGTATGAAATTCAGTTCCTGCGGACGACTGTTGGCCACTGCTGGACAGGACAAGGTGCTAAGGATTTGGGTTCTTAAAGATGCCTATCCGTTTTTTCAGGTAATTTTAGGTAAAAAATCTTATTTATAAATTTTTGTAATGCGTATTATCTCTTTTTAGGACATGCGCAACAAATATAATGCAGACCAAAAATCCTCGCCTACGCCATCCCAGGAGTCTCTCGTCTCACAGCATTCAGTGGAGGAAGCCATTGCCATGGCCACAGCCGCCGAAAAATGCCCGGGTCCATTCATGCCGAAACCTTTTTGCACCTACAATGGACACACCTCCGATCTACTGGACGTCAGCTGGTCAAAGAATTACTTCATTCTGTCAAGCAGCATGGACAAGACTGTGCGGCTCTGGCACATATCCAGAAAGGAGTGCCTTTGCTGTTTTCAGCATATCGATTTTGTCACCGCTATTGCGTTCCATCCACGCGATGATCGCTACTTCTTGAGTGGCAGCCTCGATGGCAAGCTAAGGTTGTGGAATATACCCGACAAGAAGGTGGCTCTGTGGAATGAGGTAGATGGCCAGACGAAGCTTATAACGGCTGCCAATTTCTGCCAGAACGGACAGTTTGCTGTTGTGGGAAGCTACGATGGCCGATGCATATTTTATAACACGGATCAGCTAAAATACCACACGCAAATTCATGTGCGCTCCACCAGGGGCAAAAACCGCATTGGTCGCAAGATCAGTGGCATTGAACCGATGCCCGGAGAGGACAAAATTCTAGTAACCTCTAACGACAGCAGAGTACGCCTTTATGATTTGCGGGATTTAAACTTGTCTTGCAAGTACAAAGGCTATTTGAATGAGTCCTCGCAAATCAAGGGATCGTTTAGTCACGATGGAAAATATATTATTGCCGGATCCGAGAATCAATGCATCTACATATGGAAAACAAACCACGACTATTCGAAACTCAGCTCGGTGGGTAACATTAAACTGTTTGCTTAAAAAAAATTATATTGCTTATGTTTGTACCTCCAGGTTCGACGTGATCGCAGCGATTTCTGGGAAGGCATTAAAGCACACAATGCTACGGTCAATTGTGCCATATTCGCGCCGCACCCGGAGGCTATCATTAAGCCCGAACCGGATGAAATTTCGAATGAGAAGGTGTGTGATAATCCATCCAAATCCAATTCTTTTGACTAAAATAGAGTACTTCTAATGATGGTGTTACTTATTACAGTTGGCTCACAATCAGCCGGATCCACTGGTCGAGCAGCACAAAAAGGGATGTGGTTATGTGTTGGTCAGCGCCGATTTTACTGGCGCCATTAAGGTCTTTATCAACAAGACGAAGCCGAAACACAGCAGTCTGCCCTACACGGCAATTGCGGATTAGTCTGTAGGTAGAAGATGAGAAAAATAGAAGAGTAAAAGTAAAATATTATTTTTGTATTTTTGACATTTTGTATCGTTAGTAACTAGCGCCATCGCTTATTTATATTCATAATAATTAATAATTTCGGTCTGTCCCACACCAATTTTATTCCCATTCTAAAAGTTGTTAACAATTGCTGCTGGCGCGAACTGTTTAATCTTACGGAAAATATGTTATGTATTTTTAACGCTGAGTGTGTGAATATGTGTATAGGTATTTGTTTAAAAGTTGATTATTTTAAAAGTCAATTGTTTATTGTTATACCCTTGTAAGGTGATTTTTGACTGTACAGAAGCTTTGGTTTTGATATTCTCGATTACTATTAAATCTGTCCGTTTGGCCTCAAGTCACCACTCTGATATGAAATCTAGTAACAATTTAACTACTGGCCAACCTCCAAGGGTACGAACGACTCGGTAAGCCGAATCGAATATAAGTTATTTTTAAAGTCTTCGAACTTAACCTAACTAACTTAATATAATTAACTTTTAAACAATATATATTTTGTGTAAATTAAAAATGTGCAAACAGGACATAAACTGCAACTTTAATTCTGCTTATTTTGTTTTATGATAATGGAAAGGGGCACGGTTTTGAAGTGCTTCTGGATTAGAGTATGCCTAAACCATTCCCTCTGCTATTTAACAACAGCTTAACCTTCATATTTGGGGCTTCCTAAGGTGCGTACTAGTAAAAAGTACACAAGTAAGCAAAGGTGGGTGTAATTCGATATTGGCAAGAGCTCTGCAGACATTTGTAAATCTTAGGTATTATAATTGCTAGAAGGGTTGAAATATAAAAAAACATGACGGAGTAAATGAAATGCAAAGAGGAGTGAATCAGACATTGCTTTAAATGGTTTGACTCCTGTTGAAACATTTTTTGGTTTCTTACCTTATTTACATAGTTTGGGGCTGGCCGTCTACTTGCTAAATAATAAATGAACCAGTTTTAAATGGCATTACCCCAAAAACTTTACATTGCTATGTGAGCCCAAAAATTACATACTGACAATCTAAAGAATTATTTTTGTAGGTCTTTTTGGTTAGTAGTGACATTAAAAAGAGTTCCTCAAAAGAAGAAGTACGATTAGAGCGATTACTTTAACTCGCAATGTGCACATTTATATGTAACATGGATTCATGGCGAATTACATCTGCAAAATCTGTGCATATACATAGGGGTGGACCTGAGTTGTTTGTCATGTTTAGGTTTTACTACCTCCATTTCTGACTGTTTTTAAAATTAATCACTCATTTGTAGTCTTGCATTTTGAAAAGTTATTCTTTAAAACAATACAAAATTGTACCTATTATGTCGAATTCTTATAACCGATTCTGTTAAAAATCTGATTCACTAAGAATATATTTAGTTATTGTGAAGAAGAAGTCGAATACAAAGAAGTAACGGCAAAATACAAAATATCTTTTAAGTCTTTTAAAAAAGCATCAAAAAAATCCCACTTACTTAATTCTTTCAAATTGTATTTAGGTTCCAAAGAAAATGTTGATATAGAAAACACGTCGTATGAGTGATTTTTTTGCGAATGAGTAATATATTAAAGACATTAGGTTTAAGTTTCGCCATTTATTATTAATGTAAACAATGCTAATGGAAGTCCACCCTATGGTGCATTCCCGAGTACTTGGACATGTAATCAATAAAGATTTTATTTTGGGAGTTGGGGTGGCGGGTGTTTTGTCGCGATGCGGCAACAACAGCTGTTGCAACGCCAGACGACCCCCCAAAAAAACGAGCAGCAGCCAGACGCCGGCAACCGGCGGACCTCATCATCAGCATACACCCGTTTCAAGAAGGCAATCAATGCACTTCTGGCCATGTGCCAAGTTTCTCTTCGGAAAACTCTGAGAGCCATTTGAAAGAGAAAAACCAGAAACCAGTGTAAAAGAGTTGGTTTGGGTTCGGTTTCGGTTGAGAAGGTAAAGTAAATTAAAGTTCAACTCGTTTTGTTTCTAACTTCTCAAAACTCGAATTTTAATGTATTTATTTGACGGTATTCTGTAAAAAGTTAAAAGCAAAAAATACCGCCATTAAAGAAACATGAGATCTCGCGCATGTATTTGTTTATTTAACTTATTTAGATTTATTTTAATCTTTAATAGAAGAATTACTACTCCGAAGTTTAAATGGGTATTTCCTAAAAAAGCTGGAACGGGAATATCTTTCATTAGGATTCATGTACAAATTTTTTGCAAATAGAAAATCAAACATTTAAAATAGCAGATAATATAGTGGAAAAATGTTTACACTGCTAATTTTTGATAATTAAGAATTAAAACTTTGTGCAATTTGGTATTTTTATTTGTGTTGTGTTAAATTTTAAAATTTATTATGTTATAGGATAAAAAATATCTTCATTTGGTTTATCAATTTTACAAAAGGTCTAGAGTAGCTCATAGTCTGCCTGGGATATCAACGAATCTTTAAAGTGCAGACTTTTCGAGTTTTGCCGCGTCACTCGTTTATCCAAAGCACCCACACTACCGCATCTCACACACCCGCAAACACTAACACAAGCAAACACACACAGTCGACCGTGTAGCAACAACAATATTGAGCAAGGTGCGCTTAACTGGCCGCTCTTTCGATTCGTTTTTCTCCGTTTCAGTTTATTTCTGGCTCTCGTGCAAAGCGCAACGTATAGCGGATACGTTATATAGTATCCGTATCGGTTCAAATCGGGACGGCTTTGTCTTTGTCTGCGTGTGTGTGTGCCTGAGTGTGGGTGTGTGAGTGTTTCCGATGCGATGGTTTTAGCTATTTGAAGCGCAAAATGCAATATTTACTATTTGACAAACGCAGATGAATCACTAGGCGGCAGAACAAGTCATTAGAATTTTCCGAGATAATTTAAGTTTTTGTGGTTTTTCGAGAGGAACTGATCATAAAAACCCTATATCAAACTCCCCTGCCTTAAAAAATACGGCTCAGTGATTTATGTGTTGGTGTGGGTGCAGTGCATAAATAATATACATAAAATTTAAACAAATAAAGGCTGTTAAAAGATCGTAAACTCGAGTCTCAGCAAGTGCCGAGATCAGTGCTAAAGTGAAACTTCTTTGTACAAACAACAAAAATAACGTTAATTGCCAACGCCATTCTTTTAAAGCCACTTTTAAAGTGGGTTCGTGTGTGTGGTTGTATATTTTTAGTGCCTATTTGTTTAATATAACAATGCAAATACTTTGAAAATCTTTTGTTTATAGTTTAGCGTATTCATATGTCAGCTTATAAATTGTATGGCCTGACATTCTTACCCCTTTTAATGATGTTCTTAGCGGTAGAGCTTAGTAAATTGATTTAACTGGCCTGTAACAGGCATACATTTTAAAGATAAGGCATAAATCCCAATTAACCAACTAAAATCCTTTCACTTTAAAAACCAAAGAACACAAGAGTTGAAGACATTTTTGATTGTGTTAGAGCCATTAGATCGTTTATGGGTTGCAGACCTAACAATTCTTTCAAACATAATGAACAATTAAAATGGCTTGGTGGCATTCGTAGGCCCCAAAGTTTCCATGGCCTGAAGTAGAGACACAAAACCAAAATAAACGGAACCCTTTCACTTTAAAATCCACAGAACCCCAAAGATCGAGTGTGCAAATAAAGCGACGAAAACGAGTTTCGCTAAAGAGCAGAGTTTTGCAAAGCGGCCATATTCCATATCGAATAACCGACCAATAAAGTGTTACTTGGCTGAATCCAACTAGCTCCGTTGCAGCGACGTGGTGGCCTATATTCAAAATAGATCAGAGATCGACGGCAGCTGCATCAAAAGGCTGGAGGAGATGAGGCGGCAATGAGGAGATCGCCATGTGAGAAGAGCAAAACTAGTTTCCCATTTGCGCGCTTATGCTAAGTAATAATAATAAATAAGCGCAGTCGTTGTTCGCCGTTGAGAAGTGACCTAAAAATACTGGTTTCGAGTGCGGTTTGGCGTGAGAACGTGCAGCAAAGCTACCACCAATGGCCACAACCGCCGGATCCGCAGCCGTGGTGGTGAAGCGCCCCGGACCACCGGTTCCACCCAGGCCCAAAGCGGCCCAGTCCGCCAATGGAGCACCACCGATCATCCAGAAGAAGCCCACCTTTGTGAGCCAACTGAGTGCCGTGGGCCGCACCCTGGTCTACAAATCTCCGACAGTTAATCTGCCCAAGAAGCAGGCCCAAACCCAGACCCCCACAACGGCGGTACCAGCTCCTCCGGTCAAACCGCTGAAGCTACGTAAAGCTCCCGATGTGCCAACGGCCAAGCCCAGGGAGGCCATAACTTCGGTGGTCACTGTGAATCGTCATAACTCGATAAGCGTGATTGGGGGTTCCCCGCAAACCACGCCCCGCAAGGACACCCGCTTGAGCCTGGGAAAGGTGGACTTCGAGCGGGCTGGTCTTCAGCCCACCAGCCAGCCTCTACCCAGACCCCGGAAAATTGTCCAACTTCCCGTTGCCACTCTGGATGTGGAGGATATACCAGTAGCCACTACCCACCCATCCACTGGGTTATTCAGAAGATCCAAAACTACACTGGATGGCTGCCAAAAGGAGTCGACCCCCTCCCCTCACAACGGAGGATTCCTGGCTGGCCGAACTGTGGAGATCAAGAACAACTTGAAGAACGCCGCAGAGCGTTTGTTTTCGGAGATAATCATCAATCAGAGCCAGAAACAGGCTGCCACCGATACCACCATTATAACCAAACACGAGGCCCTGAAACAGGAGGCGGATGTCCTTTCCATTCAGTCTACGGGAAACTGCATGAGGATCAATGTGAATGGTGGCCAGACCACCAGCACCATGAAGAGTTCTATTAGCGTGGGCAATACTCCGCAGAAGAAGCAGGCCTTCCACGAGATGCTCATCTCGGAGCTGGCTGCCATGCGGAACAAGTCCTGTTCCCTGGAGCAGCTGCCCACCAAGTCCCTTTCGCCCCCGACCACATCCACACCCAAGAGTGTCATATCGCGCAGGCGATACAACTCCATCGATGATGCCGAGGATGCCGAGGACGTGGATGCGGACAACGTCGAGGATGCGGATGGAGATGTCGATGAGGAGGATACGCTGACCTATGCGGTTAACAAATCGCTGAAGGAAAACATGGGCAAAGAGGGAGTGTCTTCAAGGAAGCGTTGTCCTTCTGGATGCTCCACAGATTCGTCGCCCTATGGCACCGAGAGATCCCAGCGCATCCGCACCTCGGATTGGATCGAGGTGGGCGACAATGGCACGGCGGTGACCTTAACCAGCTGCCACATCAGCCTCGAAGATTCGGGCATGGAGGACGAGGAGCGGCTGGACGACATGTCCTCGGGAGTGGGCGATAGTTGGGACAGCGTGAAGGAAGCGGAGACCGAGAAACGTTCTCGCAACGGAAAACGGTGAGTTTTAAAAACTCTACGCAATAATTCACAAAAACTTTAGGTGCATTAAATACTTATAACTAAAATGTACGTTTAAAAATTCCTCTTCAGATTTGCAGATTAAAATTATAAATTTATAGGCTTCTTTTATAGTCTGAAGTAGAACATTATTTTTAATAGTTTCTTCATCCAAATTTAGTTATCCAGTATATAATTTATTAAGTTTTATTTTCAGAAATAACATTAAAATTTTTCAATTTTCTTTGATCTGTATACATTCGAATTAACAGACTAAAATGGATTTTATGATGAAGAAATGGGTATTTTTGAGAAAATAAGTTAACATCCATTACCACCACAATAAAAAAATGTATTGTTATCGCCGATTATTTATTGCTAGTAAATATGAAAATTTGAATATGGTAAAAGAGAAGAAAAATGCAAGTTTCGTCTTGCCAATAAACGGAAAACTTGTTAAGGTCTTGGTTAATGGGAGATAGAGTTAGAGGTCGTAATACTTTTGAACTGAAAATGACTTTGGCGCACCATATCCGATAGTCAGTATTAGCCGATCTCGAACTCGTTATTGAGCTACCGCAATTATTTCACCGAGTTTCGCTGGGCTCCATTGACATGGTTTTGATCGACCGTGCGCATCCCACGGAATGCCGAGCACCTCTCCATCTTCACGTGCAACTGGGGGCCACCATTGTCTCTAGCTCTCATCGCGCACTTTCGGAGTGAGATCTCTCACAGAAGCGGGCTTGGCTTACATTAATTTATCTGTGCTGACATCATTTCGAATGTGGTTTGTTGCATGTTGCACATTGCAGATTGCACATTGCATGTGCGAGCTTTTGGGCCCGCGATTGCCGCAAGTAGCCGCCGCAAAGGCTTGCGATATTAACAATTTAGGTTTACTCGTTAGTATTTTGAACAGCAGAATCGAAGTGGCCAAAAACCCGTTTTGAGGCGCTCTTTTACGACTCGAATGATTCGGATTTTAGCGGGTACACACAATGGGCCTGTGTTTATATTAACATATAAATACTTATATGTATTCCGCTTGCGGTACGTGTTTGTCGCCGCGAAAAGTGATTATCGTGACTCACAGTGCTTGGCATTTGCGCCATCGCACACACGACCAAGATACTTCATATATCGTGCATATATGTATGTTCCAATATTTGCTTATTCACACGAAGTATAGCTTTCATTGGCAGGCCATCAGAATGGCCGATAGAAGTTGGCTTTACACTGTCAATAAATCACGAGTTAATCGTCTCTAATCATGTGGGTTTCTCGTTAGAAAGTTGCTAGAGTTCGTCTTAATAAAAATCCGTTTCCGTGCTTATCTCCCGAAAATTTGATCAAATGCACTCAGAAAACTGCAATTTGAGTGGACCAAAGTATAAGATGATTTATGATCCTAAGGTTATAATTAATGATTAATTAACTAATAAGAAAATGGTGGATTAAATGTTTTATGTAACAGGTTTTACTAAAAGCTTAATAATAGGTACATTTAGGAATTTGTATTATTCATGAAATATGAATAATAGCGGAGAAAAATATTAAATTTTTTCATGCACTACACAATTGCATTTTAATAATAATAAGACTCTGACTCTCTTTTCTCATGCAAGCATTTTGTGCCGATAATAATGTATTTTACTTGATGTATATTACTCACTCAATCAATGCATATTTAAACGAACATTGCCGAGAAGTCATTTCCTACAGCGAGATGCAACTGGCAAATTGCATCTTTCAAATGCCTGAACGTGTAGATTGGGTCTTATGCATATGAGGTGATTCGCAGATAAGTGCAGTCGCATATACACATATATAACTATATATATATCTATATATATTTTCATGGCATCGGCTGTGGCTAACTGTTGCAACTTCGACGCAAGCGTTATAAAATAAATTCAATCACATGGCGAAAGCAATGTTGTTGCACCAATCCCAACATGATTCCCCAGTTATTGCTCCTTCGATTTCAATTTGCATAATGGTTGCCGTTATCAAGAATGGTTTACGTTCGCGTTTACCGTTTCCTCGTTCTTCTATATATAGAATGCTTGCTCTTTGGCTCAGCAGTTTGAATAAAAGTCGTAAAACTTTTATTTAGACATTTCCGTGAATTTATTTCTGTGTTATTGCATACAAAAGTTTCATTCAGTCTTTGTTCGAGTTTAAAGAACTTACCTAAGAAATTTTCTTTTGAAAACTGAGCTTAATTGTCATTTGTAAGCTATTATTAAAAGCGAAATGGAATGTTTGCATGTGGTAATGTCTTGAATAATGTCGACTGCAACTTGATTATTGCTTCGCATTGCTTGTTGGCACCAATCATTTTCCAACATCATTTTCTGGGAATTGCAAAGCGAATGAAAGCCAATCACAAAATGCAGATTCCGATTTACATATCTTAGAAATTTAATGTAAATGCAAGCCACTTTTAAAACCCATAACAGAAACTGTAGGCTTTTTTTATTAGCTGGTACCTCAGTTCGATTTTGGAGAGATTGTGTTCGGTCAAAAGTTCATTTATATTGAACAAGGGTTTCAGGTGATTAGCAGGCTTTCACCGAAGTTTTTATAAGTATAAACATATACTGCTAAATCGGTCAACAATCCATGCAGCTTTTATTAACATTTATTCGTTGAATAAAGCGATTTAAGCTATAAACCTTTCTAAATGGTATTTATGCCTTGGAATTACATATAATGTAATATACTATACTGTAAAGGCAATACCACTGATTTGGACTCACCCAAAAACTAGATGCAGAAACACCTTCAACTACGATTAAAATCATGGCCGGTCCGGAGTCTTGATGGCTGTCAGCCACTGAGTAGTTTCAGGTGGCAGAGTTGTAATTTCTGTGTTTGCCAAAGATACACAAGTCAGGTTTTTGAGGCTGTTACGAGTGTGAGAACCGTTAAAGTACGACAGGTGACTCGACAAAGCTCTCCAGTCGGCCTAACTGACTGACTTTCTGGCGTACGAGTATTTCTGCGTAATATGCTTCTGTTTCACTTGGCTAGCAGCTAAATATCCCAAGATGATGATGCGACAGATATCCAGAGTTCAACTACCGCTTTGTTCTCTCTGCAGGAAAGTATCGGGTCAATGGATCTTAAGCTGTCCCCCTACAACCTTTCAAAAAGAAACTTCTGGGAAAGATCAAGTCAATTAATTGCATGATTAGTGAAGTGTTAACCACTTGTACCAGAAATGAATGCCCAAATGAGTGTTACTAGTTTACAAGGTGAGGAATACAGACCAAACCACTCTCCAGTTAAAAACAAACTTTGCCAAAAAGTGGCCAAAATACCCAAAGACACTATAAACTTGATTTTAACGGAAAACAAAACATGCGGAAAAGCAGCCTGGACCTGGAAGCCAAAAGTGGATGATGTTTTTGGACTCTACTCCACTTCGTCTACGAGTATAGGCTGACTGGGCTTACATAAACCGAAAACTTTGAGCACACTTTTATTTGTATGCTCTGTTACAGTTTATAAAGAAATTTGGCAGTATAAGCTAATGACATAATCTAGGCTTTGAGTAAGGCAGTTGGGAATACCCTCTATTTAAGGGTTTTATATATTTTTAGCATTGAAATTTAACAACTGCATTGAATACCCAGAACAGCAGTCGGTTTAATGCACTTGAGTATAAGTTACACAAAGCTTTGTTTTACTTGATTTCTTGATATTGTTTTCAATAGCAATTAAGGTCTTTCAGGCGAATAGATTCCATGTGTTTTCGGCGCAGAGACCTCGTTTCACATTTAATTTGCCATCACTCTGCACTTGTGGTACCTTACTTGATTTTTTCTTTAATTTTTTAATGCCAACAACTCCACGCAGATGTCTGGCCAAAAATAGCAGTCTGAGCCAAGCTGGCGCAGATTTGTAGATATGTATCTCAGGTGCGCGAGTATTGCCCAAGTTTCCTGTTCCGTTCGGTGGTCAAGTGGACGGATTTATTCGTTTGTTGTTGCCAAGCTCCACACTGAACATTTTACTTTCACATAAGGAAATTTTAATAGCACATATGCTATTAGTCTTTTTATTTATACACCTTCGTTTCTTAAAGCTAGGAGAAAAATGTTGGGGCAGATGGATTTTGTAACCATTTTAGCGGTTTTTAATAACCAGAGTTCATAGGTCTATCATATGCACAGAATATTTTTTTATGTTTAAAAAAAATCATAATATGAATAGTCAATTCATAAATTGCATATTACTAATTATATGTGAGTTATACCATTTTTTGGTATCAGGAATTTCGGCCTTATAAAAGAAGTATATTGCTATTTTACTGATCGTACTCTTTAAGGTGAATTAAATAAATGATTTAATTGTTTCTTTCCTTTTTCCTTTTTCATACTATTGCTTAAAAACATTTTGAAACATTCAATATTCCGATTTTAGATATCAGGAATTTCGGCCTTACAAATAAATGAGTTCACAAAAACGTTACCTCCCTTACAAATTTGATTTGTTGATAATATCTTATAGCCTCTATAATGATCTAAATTGGTATACCACGATTGTTTTAAAAGGCAATTAATCATCGAAGCCGCTCTTTCGTATTGTTACTTGTTGTTTTTAATGGGATCAATAGCGTGTCTTGCATATTTTGGGTGTTGGGGCATTCTCAAAAATGTCCCGCTCAGATTGCGGTGCTTTCGCTTTTGAGTTTCAGGCAAACAAAGTCTCAGCAGTGGCCTTATGCCGATATCATGCTATATGGGGCCTGAACATAGCTATGATGAACAATCTGCATAAATTAAGCCATTCGAAGAGCTATTTGTAAGGTGGTGGCTATTGGCCGGCTTCGTTCTACTAATCAGGAAACCGAAATCAAAATTTCGCTTTTTGTTGGATTCGAAAGAGAAACGCGCGACTAATCGTATGCCGCACAACACAATTTATTTGGGTAACTAAACCGCTCTAGTCGGTGGTTCATTTGCATACTATTGGTTATTTGTTTAGAAACTCTTCGGGCAGAGGCGAAATAAAAGTTAGAAAATAGAAATTTATGGGCTCTGCGGTGAGTAGTTGGTGGGGTATTTTGAATGAAAGCGAAAACGTTTCGATATGAGCGATTTTGAGGTGGTTTTTATTTTCTTATTTTTTTTTGGGAGTGGCTCACGTAGAGGGCGACAATACGTGAGTAACTGGCGATAATAACTCCTCGAAGACTTATCCAACTCCGCAACTTCTCACTTAATTTGCACCGGACTCTTCGGCCGTTTTCAAGACAATGGAAAACGATGCCTTATTAGAATGCGTGAGAAAGTTACTGTGAGAAACTGGAACCCGATTGTGGCGTCAATTCCCAACTTGAGGCGGCGTTATTAGTCTTTACCGTGCCCTCATTAAATGGCTGAGAAAGAGTCTCGGAGAACTGACCCAGAGATTTCTACGCAGCCATTTAAATCCCCCTTTTATCACCTTCTTGAGCGACTTGAGTGCCATTTGTTTTCGCCAAGCATTTAGCCAAGGAAAGCTCATAAATGTCTGGTGAAATTTTTGGGTCAACTATTGGTATTATGATCACGTAGGTAGAAGCCAGCCTGTCGAGAAATCGCCATGGCGCTAATATATATATATTTTTTGTATATATATATTGCATTGTTCTGTTAAGACATCCTGCAATGTGCGTGCTCCGATTCGCCACCTGCGCAATTGTCTGTGTAATTTGCCCATTCCGCATTCGATGCACTTCTTCTGTGGGTCACAGCGGATGTCGCCGGCATTCAATGCGTGGATCTGATTCTACCCGGTTTATATATAGATTGCCGCATTCCGCACGCTCCCAATTCGCTTTGGTCTCTCTACCCAAGCAAGGCTAAAACAAAAAAAGTAAAAAAAAAAGCGCTGTTGGGGTCCGAAATAAGACAAATTTGACGGCTGCATCACTCGCCATCATGTTCGGATATTTCTGAATGGGAATGGGAACGCTCCCCTGCGCCAGAATCTCTGTTATTCTCTGTTATTGTATTGCCGGCTATACGGATCGCCCTAAGGTCTCGTTGAAGAGCTGCCTGATTATTTCGTACATGATGTACTACAGCGGCGCGAGCGTGTTATTTTGTTATGTCTAAAAATATCTGGAGATCCGCTGGTGACAGGGGCGCACAGGGTGGTGCAATTCTGGGGATCTTCTAGATCATCTATGACAATTTTGGGACCATGTTGTAGAAATTTCTAATAAAAACAATGAGCTAGGTGAGTTTGTATTGTACTTGAGTGAAATTAAGCTTTATAATTTCATTATTCTCTTGCTGAAGTAAATAGTCGTGTCATGCCATGTTTTTATGTCCATGAAGTTAAATGGATATCTATAAAATGGTTTGCTATTTACAATTCTATAATATATTAACTTTAAAATGTATTTGTTTTATTTTAATTTAGAGTCTAAATTGGTAATGTCTAGTAAAGAAATAGGAAAACAAGTTCAGAATTTTTAGATTATTAGTATTATTATTAAAGAACTGTTTGACTATTACCTTTTAATCCCAAAATAACGTAAATAAGGAAATCTGCTTAGAAACATGTAAATGTCGTTAAACTTGATATTACCATACAAACAATTAACCAAATATCAATAGAAAAATCTCTTTAAATAAATCTTCATGTCGTTAAACCCAATAATAAATTGAGGTAACCAAATTAACTCACTTACTTTCACCTTTTCGAACCGAAATACACCCTGTTTGTCATTTTGTTTTTTATTAAATCAATTTGCTCATTTCTTATATATTTTTATTTTTGTCTCGATGCCTGATTCTCACTCTCGAGAGTGTTCACCGATCGCGTGGCTTTCGTGTCTCTGTTTTGCTGTTTTGCGTTTTTGGGGCTCCTTGGGGCTCTCTCTTGGGGGATTTGGGTGATCCAACGTGGCCGAAAGTGGCAGCATTTAATTTTTAGTTGCACGCGAATTTCGCAGCGAAACAAACAATATCCACGCCAAACGGAACTAGGAAATACAGATTATATGTTCATTTTTCCCATACTGTTTGTACAAATCGTAATTTGTGAGTACGCGCTGAATCGCAGACCCTTTTAATGACAATGTTTACGCAGCTGTGTGAATTCTTCAGATAAAAATGACAGATTAGCAAACCAAATTAGACATGCTGCGAATAGTAAAAATAATATTTTTTTCTGCTGCCTTTGCTTTGCAAAATAAATACAAGAAAAATACAAAGTTTTCGTGTTGATTTGTGTATTGTCTAAAAAAATGTTGCCGCAGTGTTTTTCCAATGTGTTATTACTTCACAGCATCGGCTATTTGAAAAGTAACAACTTGCGGATATACATGTGTTTTGATTAACCGACATGTGAGACATTTCAGATAAAGACATCATTTACGTTTGTATAAAATCATTTTCGTTGACCTCCAGCCTTGCCCTGCGCAGAATATTGCTTTTCCCAATGTGCTTGTGAAAATCTCATGACGTAATATCAGTTCGGTAGAAATTTGAATGGAATTTATGATTATGATCGGTTGTTGTATTCTTTGTTTTAATACTAGTTGAAAGAATTGACGACTATCTAAACATTCAGTTTAATTAGGCATCACGAAGGTGGGGATATAGAGCTTTCAACATGTGCTGACGGATTTAATTTGAATTTTTAAAATAGTTTGACGTGTGGGTTGAAAATAGATGAAAGGTGTTGATTATGGCTATGGATATTGGCGGTCAGCCCTATTGAACTATTGTAGAACCAGCTGTGTTTTATTTAGCTAAACGACTTTTTATTAAAGGTTATAAATGTTATGACAAACAAATGGATTGCACAATATGTTTGAAGTTACTTAACTGCGTTAAAAAAATTCCTTTTAAGATCTTTAAAGGCATTTTTAATATTTACGTATTCGTCATTAATGACAAAGCAAGCACAACATCTTCTTCGCCGAAAATCAATTTAGAGTGAAAAATTGACAATTTGCAAGCCAATAATTTGTTTACTACTCACTTCAACTTCATTTGGTAATCTCCATTACGAATAAATGAAGTCACAAACTAAATTATCTCTTGCATTGACCACGTTTTTGTGACTGTATTATGGCCTTTGATGCAACTGACTGATCAGACTGTTTAACCAATTTTTTGAACTCGTTTGTTAGCATTCTAAAAGCCATAAGTTGATGGCCTTCGTGTCTGGTTTCTTTTACGAATGGAGTTGTGCTTGCATTATGTACATAACTATATCTTTTTTTCATACCGGCCCATGTTTTCATGTATCTTAAATGCCTGTGCTAACATTACAGATTGAGACTGAAATGCCATTCTTAAAGCTCTGATTTTACAATGAGAATTCCGATCTTACAATGATAATATAATCTAATTGCTTAACCAATAATTTACAAGTAACGATTTGTTGTGTTTTTCCATGCCAGCTTTTTGTAACGAAGGATAAAAGTCAGAAAGGGATTAAGGCTATGGCTATCTTATCTGCTTAAGCAACATCTGATAATACCCTGACATATTGATAATTATCAGCCTTATAAGATTACCTACCGTTTGCGATGTTCTGTTTGCTGTTCCTGTTTTTTTTCAATTTGGTTCTGTGTTGGCACAATGGATAATAAAGTAAAACCCTATGATATGTACAAAATTCTTTGCAGCTTATGTCATAAGTCGTTTCATTGAAAATAATACAAATATGCCATAACATGAGCTGTGCCTAACCAACATCCGATAATACCCCATGCTGAAAGAACCCATCACCTCATCCACTGTTCTGTATTTCGTTCCTGTGTTCTGTTTTCTGTTGAAACTAAGGGAATGCGTTGAAACTTTGAAATCGACCAGCTTTGCGTGCCAATATGAAATCTAAAAGAACCACCTATCTTATCCCCAATGGAAACTTTGCAGCTAATGTCATAGGTCGTTTCAAACGCCATCTCACAAAGTCACCGAAAATGTCCGAGGACCTGGACGAGCTGTTCCTGTCGCCCATTCCGGCGCCCTCGGCCGTGGAACTGCAGCAGTGCATCTTGTTTGGGTTCCGACGCCGCCTCCATCCCGCCCAGATTTTCGAGGAGTGTCGGAACGCCTTCGGGCCCTTCTGCCCCAGTGCCCAGTATGTGGCCAAGTGGCATCAGCGGTTCCAAGACGGATTCTTCAACATAGACGAGAAGGACGACGAGGAACTGAGGATCGGGCGTGGAGAAACCCCAACCACGTGCAGTGAATACGAGGATGAGAGTGATTTCGGTGAGGCGGGGACCGTATTACCCCTGACTCTAAGCGAAATCATCAATCGAAATGAGGAGGATGATTTTGAGAAGGAGAGTGATGATGGTCTAGATGGTCATGTGATTGGTTATTGGCAAGGTTATGGCTATTTGGGTGGCAAGCAAAGGTATAGTTGGGTTGAAACTAAATTGTATGTATTGCCTCTAAAGTGGACTACTTCCTATGACTAATTACTGTCTTCTACTATCTTCTCTTTGCAGTGGAAATTCTGTTTGCGAGCTGCCACCGCTGCCAAAATCTCTGATTGGCTTCAACAAACTATTGTGTTCCGATTCGGGACTTCTCAGTGATGTGGAGGGAAACAACAACAGCAGCGAGATCAGCCAAAAACCAAACAACTCTTTTGCATTGGAGATCCAGGATGACAATGAGAATGGCAACGATAAGTCACTGCCCTCCTCGCCGATCGGAAACACAGCAATACCACCAATGACTGCGAAATCCGAGGCGAAGTCCCCCAGTTTATCCGCCAAAGGAAACCCCCAAGCAGTCGAAGCAGGCAGCACTCTGGATGCACAAATTGCGACGCTGCGGAAGGAAATGGTAAGATCTCCATCATATTTTATTGTATGTTTAATTTGTAAATGAAAACCAAACCAATAGCTTTTACGATAAGCTACCATAGGTCCACGATACGATCTTAAAATTATGTATAAATATAAGGTTTATCTCTTAGATTTCAAGAAGACTTGATATTGGTGATCTTACCAACTTTTGATTTTATCAAGATTATACCTTTAAACGGCATAAAATTGTTTTCAGTTTTGCTTAAAATCGAAAGGTATAATAAGCTTTTGATCTATAAATCTACTGCCAAAACATCACCTGAAATTTCACTTATTTCGTTCTGAAATTAAAATGTCCTAAATATTTCCAATGACACAGTTTCTCCCTAAGATATTTCAAAAAATTTGCATTGAAAGCTAAACAATTTAATCGCCTCGTTTAGCAACCGAAACCAGTTCTCTGACGTGCAAAGTTATTTTTATTTGAATGTTGTCACTCTTGTGCCAAAATATAACACACTTCTTAAGGGTATAAGCTGCATTTGGAAGTGAACTTTATTGACCTGCCTTAGTAAACTTTAGCTCAGCCGCCTAATACCAAACTTCTGCGAGTGGGGGCCAAAGTCTAAGTTGGCAAAACCTTTCACATTTAATTTTGCTAGCTTTTGCTGGCAACAGCATTTGTTCAATACCTATTGCCTATCGTATTATGGCCGTAAGAACCTGTTTAATACTCGCTTAGGCGTAGGTGTAAATACCCCAGTAAGCCTTGAGTTAGGAGCGGCCATTTTCTGTATTGTCTCGGATCAAATCAAAACCAAAGTCTTCTGAATAAAAATGCTGACTTTTTCGTGCTGCTCCGATTTAGACGTCGATCTGTGGCGGTGGTGAACAATTGGAAATAAATACTAAATTGTGCACCATTTAAAGCATTTTGCGCAATTTGCATGTCTGCTGTTGTGCAATATGGCTATCGAGACTTGGCCAAGTCTTGGGCCCAAATGGCAATTTTGTGGGCCACATTTCCCGTGTAATAATATTATTATTATTATAATTATTCGCTTAACGCATTTCGTATAAGTAGTTCTATTAGCTCTTAGTTTTCGTTACATTAAAGTTTCCATCAGTTCGCCAACGCAGGCCCAATGACACTTTAATTGGTCATTGTATTTGCCCAACCATTTATTATTGTGTGTTATTTCTGCGAGGCATTTAAATTTATTCGTTGCCACAATAGCGATTTGTTTATCTAACTCTACCGGGTCTTAGTTATTTTCTGGCCAACTTAAGCCGAAAACAGTTGAAATGCCATTAAGGGGAAGATAAGCCCCGATTGTTTAGACACCATTGAAAGGAAATCACAAGTTTCTTGGAAAAATAGATTTCAATCAATAGGGAAGTGATTTATTTATTTATTTTTTAAACTAATTACTGGTTAGGGTATCCGTTTGCTGACCTATCTGAACTATCTTTCCTTGGTTTTCGCAAATGTTTCGGTCGGTTGATTAACGATTCGAGCTCTGATCGTTCAGTTCGGTGGGTGTGTAAGCCAGTAAGTATGGGTCCGGTGTGTGAATGTGTTTTGCAATTATGTTAGTTGGCCGCTTTTGCTTTCCGAAATGCCGAACTGGGCAGAGATTGAGTGGTTACCCTTCTTGGTGAACCCAAGACATCGATATGCATTGTTCACTCACGTCTATTTATGTGCACTGTATTTGATATAAAGCCGCTTTTACTCACTCTATTTCGAGCACGAATTGAAAGTAAATATTTGCTGAAGGTCAGTGCGGTAGCTGGTTATTATTGGGTTATTAGATCAGCTTTCAGTTGGGGCACAATGAGTTTTCGACGAACCACCTATGTATAATGCTATTATCCATTCTATAGCTTTATGTTTTTTCTAACCGCATTAACAGTGTGCAGAAAAGATTTGTTGTTGTTACCTAAGGTTAACAAAAAAATATATATATTACCCAAAGTATTTGAAATTCGATATTTCAGTTTTTAATTCGTTTTTTTATGTTTGTTTTATTATTTTAATGTTTTATTACCCCATAAACAAGCCGCAGGACTTATTTCTCTTTACTATAATAACTAAAAACTGAAATCCAATAGTTCCCTGGCATTTTGTACATAACAAAATAAAATGCTACGGATGTACATCTTAAAGGGGAGATTATTTGATATTGGACATTTTACTTTAAAAAGTTTTTTTTCATTCTAAATAAAGTTTGGTTACCACATGAAAGAACAGCAGACTTATTTCTCTTTATGACATTTAAACTTGTTCCATGTAGTTGCTTTTCCACCACTTGAAGTGCAGAACTCATAAAGCCAGAAACTTTACCTCCATATTAATAGATAATTGTCAAGTAAAATTACGCTCAATTGTTAAAGCCACCATTCCCATCGTCATCAGCGGCACCATCTCTAATGTGTACAGCGATGAAAATGAAGTAATAAACCTGGTTAATGCAATACAACGCATCGGGGAGAAATAAAAAGCAGCAGGTAAAGGCGGGCCACAATGGGAGAAAACAGGAGTAAGGCTAATCAGCGCATGCGCAGCCATTAAGCCAGGCAATCCAGCAAGTTGGTAAGTTGGCAAGCTGGCAAGTGAGCAAGTAAGCAAGCTGGCAAGTAAAGCAACAAAGCAAGAAAGCAACAAAGCGGGTCCGCTTCAGCTAATTTATGTTGCCTGGTGTTTGGTTATTTTGTTATTGTTGTTGGTTTCCCATATACCTCGGTTATGGCAGCAAATTAAATTTATGAACGAAAAAAGGCAGCAGCAGCAGCAACGGCCAAAGTAACTAAAGAGCCAGCGGACAGTTGGTGAGAAGAAATGCATCAATGCATGAAATGGATTTTTATGGCTTACATAAAATGGCCTTGAACGCGCCCGGCATTCTTTCTCCAGCCTGTAAGATCGTCGGCTACCGATTAAGCCCCTCTTGGCCAAGAAAGACCCCCATTTGCGGCTAATCGCTTCTCACTTGTTTCACTTTATTTGGCACATACGAACCGAGCTCAGTTTATCAGACCGCGAACATGACACGCCAACCTCTTGCCGAGGGTTTTAAAAAGATATATGTGCGTTCTGCAATCGGTCTATTGCTTCATTTGCCCACCTTGCCTCGGTCTATTGCTTCATTTGCCCACCTTGCCTAGTTAATTAAATCTGTGGGGGATAGAAAAAGCAACATTGGCTTGGCTTTTATTTGCACATAATTGGTTTTATATATTTAATATTAGAAAACGTTAACATTGAAAATCATAGAAACTTTATAGGATTGTTTTTATTTGCACAATTTATTTAGTGAATTAGTTTTAAAATCAATTAACGCAAAATTAATGGTTTAACAAATTCTTAATAGCATTATAAAATTGTAAGAACCATATCTAATAACTAGAGAGCTCTAATCAATTACGCTGTTTTTGATTGATCTACAAAAGTGGAATATTTCATTGTTTTTACAAATTATGGTATGGGTAGTCATACATTTTTATTTAGATATTTTAGAGAAACTGTTTACCTATAAAGTAAATATAGATAAAAATCACCTAAAAAGACAAATCATTGATAAATGCCACAAGTGGAATGGGGCTATAAAAACCTACGATTCATTTCCCTATGCTAATTTTAAAATGCAAATGTCTGGAGATTCCAAATGTGAGTTTGGCAAATGGCAACGCATCTGGGATCCCCTCTTTCTACAGACAAATGCTGAAATTCCCGGCTTGTTTTCATTCCTTCCCGTTTCCTGATCTTCCGCATTTTTAGCAAAGGTGCCGCCGTTCAGCTGCAGAGTTCACGCATCAGTGCAGAAATGTTTGATGTAAACTGAATGGCTTCCCGGCTAAAGATAGAACGCGCCACTATTTATCTTGGATCTTGGGCAGATAGATATATACGTATATATGTGGACATATATTTATGCAGTCGGAGAGGGCCTTGTCTGGCATTTGCAGCGTTCATTGCCATTTGGCGCTGTTGCATTTAAGAAATACTTTTAGGGCTTCTGCTTGTGTCAAAACCTCCTATTACCACCGGGCACGTAATATAAGCACTTCGAACCCCTAAGCAATTTTAGCGCAAAGAGCTTAGGGCTAATTAAATTTTCAACCGGATCGATTTGATTTATGACTGAAGCGCCAAAAAGATAACTTCTACAGCGGCCGATTTTTAATATTGTTTATTAAATGGAAGTACATGTGACAAAGATAAAATTCTAAATAAATCTATTTTAATTTTAGAGAGTAAAGGGGACACTTAATAAAATAGGAGCTTTCTTGAGTATCGAGAACTTATCATTTGTGACTGTAATAAACTTCACAGTTCTTTACCCAAAATAAAGGCTTTAAAGCTGTAGAATGTATATTTTCAAATAGAATTCATTATATATTTTTATATAATACATTTGTCTGTGGTGATAAAATATTTGCCAGCCATTGTTAATATTTTTCAACTTATCTAATTATTTTGTTGTGTGATAAAAGTGTAATAAAGTGGTTTATTTGCGAACAGTTGACCTACATTCTGGCCTGATTTGCACTTTCTAGTCAAGCCAACTAATGGTATTAGCACAATTCTATTTGGATCAACTTCCCACGGATAACCCTGCAAGTATGTTAATTCGCAACCAATTCACATTCGACCCAAGGCGACGCCCCCGCCAAATGTGGCGAAAAAGGTTTTGTACAACCGGCATTAATCTGGTAAAAACTGGCACACACTTAACGTGGCTCAAAGCAAATGGTAAAGAGAAAAAACGCAGATAGGCAGTTTTTACTTGAGAACACGTAGATACTTCCTGATTGTTGGGAAAGTTGAGGAAAAGCGAAAAAAGCAGCTGCAGAAGTATTGAACGTTGAAGAAGAAACCTTAAATTAATAATTTCTAACCGTATTCTAGTCGGAAGTAAAGAAAATGTAGTTTTGCGGTTTTTATGAACCAAAGTCCGCAACCGCAAAGGGAAAGCTTCTGAGTTAATTTATGGTCTTATAAATATATAAATATTTAAATACCATTAAAGTTTCATGGTCTAATTTATGAACAAATTCATGAAGTTTTTAAGTTTCCATGTTAATTAAATACCTTCTTCTTAATTAATAGCATGCAATTCTTTTTTTAGTATTTTATTTCATTTTAATTTGCTCTTGTATCCAATCTGAATGCATTAGCAGCCCGGTGGGAGTTGGTTGAGGCGAAACGCAGGCTTGAGCGGATTTTGTTAATACCACGATGCTGCGGCGGTTGCAGAAAGTTTTTCTGCTTTTCTTTTCGCGCGATATTATGCCGCGATATTAATTGACAAATGAGATTTTTCCTTCCTACTCGACAGCGACAGGGGGAACTTTCATTTTGACCACAAGCGTCATGTTGGCGAAAATACAGGCCAAGGCTTTAAGAGGACATGAATATTTGGGATTATTCATGACCAGCCAGACGATATATATTTCGGATAAGACAATCTAAATCTATAAAATGTAAAGTAACTACTTTACAATGATAAATCAACAAGATACACCCATAGTGGCTTTTAAATTCGATGCATTTATTGTAAAAGCCTTATAAAAATGTATTTTTATTATTAGACCAAAGATTATACAAACAAAACACAACTTTTTTTGAACCATATACGGTATCTAAGTATTGAATAATCCTTGTGTTTATTTCAATTTTCTTCTTTCTGATTAAATACCAATGTATTGTGACTAGCGTAATACTGTATAAGTTAATTATCTGCAAGCATAACTATATATTATATATTAAAAATCAAAGCTAAGACCGTCTTATTGTAAAATATTTCCCTTTTAATTCTAGAACGGCCTGCGTCAGCTAGATCTCTCGTTGTTGTCACAACTGTGGGTGCTTAACGAATCGATCCAAGAGTTCCGTGCCTTGATCGAGGACCAGGAGAACGAGGATGAGGACGACGAGGTGGACAATGGCAACGAGGTGGACGAGGAGGGCAACAGCCGGATATCCTCGTCCGTCGAATCGGTGCGATTCGAGGGCGGTGCGGATGCCAGGGCGAAGCATCTGGGAACCATACCAAAGGTCATAACGACGCAGCCGAAGGTGCTGAGGGATGAGCTGGCCAGCAGCAAGGACCAGAAGCCGGTGCCAAGGATGCGGAGTGCCCCACCCCCGCCGCCACCCGCCGTCCTGCAGTCCTCCATGGAGCGAAAGCCGCCGGCACCTTCACGGCCCACATGATGTTACCTCTCGGACTTCCTCGCCGGAGTCAGGATGGTCATGTGCAAGGCGATCGTGAGCGATGTGCCCGCCTCCTCCACGTCCTCGTCCTTTGGGGGCGGGGTGGCCCCCTGGCCAGACCTGGGCGTGGCCAGTTTGTCGGACCAGAAGAGCTGCTTGGGCGCCAATCGGAGTGGCCTACTCCAAGCTTAGTTTTAGTTGATACATACCGATAAATAAGGTGTACGAGCGATTTACGAGCGAACTGATCTAAATTTTTGGGTGAACTAGCAGTTCTCTAAGTGCCCTGAAAAAATCCTGATACGAAGCCTAAATTATCTGCTGCTTACCTCAATATAGGAAGACCCAACATAATGTAATTGGTAGAATTCGTAAGACCAACCTCTATGGTTAGGAGTCCTTTGTGATCTTCAGTTGTAAGTTTATTGTACATTTTTCTCTTGTGGTTTGGGCTTGATTGGTTCACCGATAACTTTTGTTTTTGTTTAATAGCCTTACTAGTTAAGCGATGCTGTCAAATTATGTCCTGGATCGTTCTTGATCCTGTGTTTATGTTACACCATGCATTTGACCAGTAACATTTGTATATAGAAATTTTCCTGGCTAGCTGCTGAACATTTTATAAACCTAACGAAAAGTATAAAGAATAAAAAACTTGAAAGAAGCGTGGTGTATTTATTCAATTTGGGATTTGGTTTCTAAGCCAGGCTCACGCCATCCAGTCCCGCCTGAATGCAGGGAAAATCGTAGCTGACGACCTGACTGGTGGCATAGTTGGTATAGATGTTGGGGCAGACCTTGACCCCGACTCCTTCAAACTGGAAGTTCACTTTGAGGCACATGTCCAGGGAAGCCAGCGAGACCACTGGCAGGCAAAATTTGGGCGGTTTCAGGGTGCTCATGGATAACTTGGCCACCGAATTACCATCCATTGTAGCCTCCAAATCTATCGATCCGGTAGTTAGACCAATCTGGACGGTAAGACAAACTAACAGTTGAATTAATAAAGGGCTAGGGATATCGAATAATATCTGAATGAGACATACCAGTACTGGTTTGATTCATAAGGTCAACCGTAACACTTTGGCAACAGCTGCAGGACATCGTCAGGGAGCACTGGCAAACCTGATCGTTTGCCGGCAAGGATATCGGTCCCAGATCCAATCCTGCGTCAGCTTCTGCATAACTTAAAGTTACTAATATGGCCAAATATCCAGTAAGGATGGCATGGCAAGTTACCATTGTGATGCTTCTAAAATTAATCACCGACTGTTCACCAGATATTTAACCATTCACTTTTTGTCAACTGGTCTTTTCAAGCAGTAATTTAAATTTTAATTGCTTGTAATACAAATTTAATTAGTTTCCATAAGGGTCATTTAATTCGAAATGACCCGCTGTTTAGATTAATTTATGGTAGGTAAAAAACTCATTAAGCTGTGCGGCTATTTCTTAAAAAAAAATTGTAAATATTGTTTTATATATTTGAAATAGACGTTTTAAAAGTTTGCGTATAAATGTATACATCCTACAAGCATCTACATAAGGGGCGCCCCCTATCGACGTAAGCTGTCAAATGTGTAGAATGCATGTAGATTATTTTACTTATCGTACAGTTAAGCTTTTTGTCATTCAGCTACTAAACATATTTTAAATTTTTTTTAAGAAACCGTTATAAAAGCTAAAAACGAGTGCTTATTTAAACCCTTTAAATCGTGTTTTCAGAGAAATTATTTGATTTTAAATTTTCTGAAACAAATTCATCATACCTATACAAAATTATAAAAATGCCGATGAACCCAATTAAAATAAAATGTAGCCCTTAACTTCGACTTGTGTGTAATTTATGTGTATTTTCGTTACTAGCATATCACGTTGTGCTTCTTGAAAATTAACAAGCCTATTTTCGCTCAAATCCTTAAAAAAACGTTTTCTAGCATTCCGAAAATTTCTAAATTTCAACATATTTTTACTTTTCTTTGTAAATAATAAATAGTATGTTAATTTGACTCTTGGATAATAATCAACAATGCAACCAATGCATTGCAATGCTTGAAAAAAAGGTAATAATAAAAACAAAATTGGTAAGTGAGAGAAGTAATTATAAAGTAATCGTAATTAGATAGCTGACTTTCTCATTAGAAATATTTATTTCTATTCGTTTTTGATAGTTGAGCATCAGTTATTTTAACGTCGATGCACTCAACCTTTTTAAAAATACTCAGTAAATAAATATTACACAATTGATAAATTCGCAGGAGTTCTTTGAAATCGCACAATGAAATGTCAAACCGATGACAGTTTAATAAGCCTCACACAGATAACCATGGAAATTGATACCCCGTGCCTTTCATCAATACTAATAATACGAAACTTACCAGGGCCCTTCGCAACTTTAAACATGATTATGGAAATTCCATTAAAAGTTTAATGGGCTCCCTGGAAATGTTCGAAAATCACGCACATGCGAAACATGAAAGGATACGGATAGGGTGACGGGGGGTGGTGGTGGTGGCTACGTTTGCGGGCGAAATCGCATCAAGTTACGCAGTGGGTGCAGTGAAATTGCAACTGCAGCGCTTCTAGTTGAAGCGGATGCGGAAATGGGACGTAAACAAATACCGCCGCATCACGCACATCCGGTGCAACAAAAGTGGGAACAGCCAAACAAATTTCTGAACTAAATATGGGCGCATACCGGCATGAAATTAAAAGCCAGTAAATGAGGTTGAATTAGTTTAAATTGGGAGACTAATTCTTTAAAAATTGTATATCAGAAAATATATATGTGTTTTAGGTTAAAAGAATGGAGTAATGCGAACTTTATTTATGATACATGTCTAGTTGCTTATAACATGAAAATAAAACCTCTTGTTTTTGATTCTTTACAATCAGAAATTGCATGACTGATTTTATGTATGCTTTTGACATTCTCGCCTTCAACTTGGTGGATTTTCTTTTCCTTTACTCTTGATTGTTGGACATTCGTTACGAGGAATACAGGTACGAGAAATCATTTTCTTTTTATTTATATCCTGGCAGTTTTCATTTTTACTTTTCCATTGCCCATCCTTTTTTAAATTATCTTCTTAAGCTGGATGCGTTTCTTTTGGACCTTGCGTTTAAAGCATTTCTTTTAAATATAGTGAAAATGGTCAAAGGGTTTTATTACGGACAAATGTTAATTTGCCTTAAGGTAATGCAAATATTGCCTTTGTGTATTAAACAAGCAGAAAAAGAGAATTCGCAAATGAAACTAAAAAAGGGGCACAAGTGTCAGATGCATTCATTCAAAACCAATAATAATGTGCAACAAAGGCAATATAAATTCCAGCTAAAAATCCTTTCAAGTGATACTCGGCCTAATAGTCGGTTAGTTTTCTCACTTTTTTGGATAGCCAATTGCTTGTTTTATTTCATGAATATGCCAAGGCTTTGGAATTAAAACTTAAATGAAGCAAAGTCGAAATATATTCTAGGAATGTTCTCGACTTCCATTAGCATTCGTTGCCAAATTGCTCAACTTTTTAAGTGCTTTGATTTGCATTACATTGTGTTTGGGAGGGAGATTGGGAGTGTGAGTGTGAGTGGGAGTGGGACTGGGCCCTTTAAGCTTTGGCTTGGCAACTGCACCCAATCTCCAAGTGCAGTGGCATCTGCATCTGCATCAGAATCTGCATCTACATCCGACACTGAAACTGAAACCAAAACTGGAGCTGTGTAAACGACCTTTGATGTGGGATTGGCTGGCTGGCTGGTCGTTGGTTTAGTCTCGACTCGTATTCGCATTAACGCCATTAGGCCAATTTGGCACTTTGCCCTGGCCTAGAAAGGCGCACGGAGAACTTTCACAAACAAAGGTAACAAACGGCGGCAGGATGCTGCAATAGCTCTTCGAAAGCCACCCAAAACCACGCAAAAACACCCAAAACCACCCAACTTACCCCGTTCGTTCCGCTCCACGCCACTCACATGCCAATGCCCGTGTAAATAAAAGTCAAGTGAGAAAAACAAATAAATTAGAAGCGCATCCTCCTTTCCTTTGGCAGCGGACATTTCTCTTCGTTATTGCGCGACTGCCTTTAATTACGACACCAGGCGGCTAGAGGAGCAACTGGGTCCACCAAGCCCCATTCTTCGTCCTCCGGCGCAGCATGCTCAATTTATGTTTATTTGAAAGCTGTTGCACTTGACTAATGTCCTCCGCCCGGCCTCTCATCCTGCCACTTAGCAGCCAACTGGGTCTTCCCCAGCTCCGTTGACCGTTGGCCGAGGCTGACGAGTCGCCTCTTGGACTCTGGCCATCTGGTTTTTGAACAATCAAGTCCGCCTCATTTGGGACAGACGCTGGGCAGACGGAGCTCTTTGGGAGGTTGAGATAAAAGCATTCAAGCGTTTAAGTAACATCAGTAACAGTTGGTTTTTGCGCACCAAATGGCTGAAATTTAGTTTTATCTCAAAAATAAGTACATTTTTCACTGATTAACTTTTGCTTGTATTAATAAAAGAAAGAGTTCATTTAAATTTATGGAGTAAAATGAAACCATTTTATCATTCTACCCAAATCAAGCTTAAATTACGCTTTTTAAAGGAATTAAACATAGTGTTTATTTTTTTTTAACGGATGTGGGTTTACGACTTTAGAAAAAAGAATAAAATGGAATTAAACTATCTCATTAGTCAACACTATAAAAGTATGACAAAATATTATAACAGTTCATTTCCAATATATTCCCTGTTTCGAAAACCTATTTTACACTTATTTTTGTTTTATTTGTATTGTCTTAGTCCTGTTGAATTTATTCCCTTACTAAATCGACTATTGATCCATCGATCCAAAAGCCTAGTGGATCCCTTGTCGGTGGCATTCTAGAATATATTTGATTGTAATTGATGGCGCATTTGATTTATTAGTTTTCTCATTAAACAAATTGTTGAACAATGCCGGGCAAAGAACAATGCGCAGTACTTTGCGACACACACGCACACATGCCGGATTGTACTTGCGTTTATTTATGTAGATTGATGGTCATTCGTGTAAACACATCCATTGACGTAAATTTGAATAAACATTTTCATTAGCAAAATGTCCATGAGCCCCTGGAGATCTTCAGAGCTTGATGGCTGATGGCCGATGGCCAATGGCCAGCCATTCTGGCCTGGTAATGATGACCTGGCCGTCGCATTTGCTCAATTGGTTTTGACTTGGCCGCTCGGTGCGTCGAAATGTTTCGGCCTGGATTTGGGTAATTTATTACACCTACTAAAAGTGCCAATTACGAAGCATTATACCCAATCCTTTCAAAGATTCCTCGGAAGCAATTGTCTTGCGGTCGAATTGGTAATTGCATATAAACACTTGCTAACAGGCTAATTTGATTTTGAGCTTAGCACATTTTGATTTTCCATTAAAACAGGTTTAAACTAATCAAAGACTGACTGTTTCACTTTGATTTTAAGCGTTCAGATTTTGTATAAGTGTATTAAGTTTGATTTTATTTTATTTATTATATAATGCAATCCAATGCAATTGGTGTAGGTGTGTGTAAAAATTTTAATTAGGAAACTTTATTTCTGTTTTATAATTATTATAGTAAATAATTCTGAGGTTAGCATTAACTTAAAATCTGTATAATAGGCGAAATATATTATTTTAAAATACTGCTTTGTCCCAATTAAATTAGTTTTGGTCTAACGCCTATCATTTAAACACATCTTTCATTATTTAATTTTATTTTTGTGTATATTCATTGTTGTTTTGGTCAAGGTCAGCGAGTGACAGCCGGGGCACATCGCTCAGCAGGTCAATTTCGTTCTGGAATGCCTTGAAACTCATATCGGCGACTTCCGGCACATTCCAGTAATCCTCCTCGGTGTCAAATGGTCCCTGTGGGTCGTGGAACGGTGCGGGGAGAATGCCGAGCTGGAACTGATAGCGCACCCTTTGGAACAGATCGACCTTCTGGAGGCGCAGCAGCCTGGCCTCCTCGATTGCCTGCCGGAAGACGGGGTCCACCTGGCTCAGATTCTGGTGACCCCGGGTCATGCCCACAATCACCGCCCGGGTTTGATCCAGACTCAGCCGCATCCTGTCCTGCTGCCTCCTTCCGGCCCAAATGGGCAGACAGCGGGCACACAGTCCGGTCACGAAGTGGTACACCCGTTTGGGGCACATCTCGCACTTGGTCACCTCCAGAATCGGGTTACGCCGGAACAGGTCCATCAGGCTACGTACTCGTGAAAAATAAATTTCGCCTTGACAGTTCACAATTAAACGAATAGTATTGGAAAAGGAACATTGAAGGCTTAACTTCAAAAAATATTAAAGAGGAGGGAACCCTACTATAGGGTTCACACTTTTTGGATTAAAGACAACACTTTTTGGTATGTTTTTATCTAACCAGACCAATTACTCGAAAAAAATAATTGTTAACTTTTGACAGTTCTCAAATCATTAAATCGTATTTCAAAGGGCGACTTGGTAATTAACCTCAACAAAAATTTAATAAAAGGATCCCCTTTTATATAGGTTTCAGAATTTTCTTTTCAGCAATTTGTTTTACCACGTGAGCAAAATTTCAAAAAATCTTTAGAGTTTCTTAACTTTCAGTGTATTAAAATTCTAAAAACCGAACAACACAGACCTTTGCTCTATACGAGATTTTAATCGACCCGAGGCCGATTTGTCAATCATATATTTTCAAAAATTATACGCCTTTGTTAAGGATACTTTCATGAACCATTTACAATACGTTTTCGATCTCTAATAAACTAATTTATAATACAAGAAATTATCAGATACCTATATTCTAGTAATATGAGATATTAATTTCTTGCAAATATGAACACATAAAGTTAAACTTCTGTATCTTATAAAATATTATAATGCATAAGTAATCAAATTGGCTATCCACTTAGAGCTTTGGGCTATAGCTACATTTTAGTTCTCATGAACATTTTTCATTGCAGTTGAACAGAATATAAATAAATAAGTAATAAATTTACAAGTTTTTCCGCACCTTCCACCCACATGTCATGTGGGTAAAACCTTGCTTAAAATCTCTAGCTCCACGGTTAAGGTCTTAACTCAACTCAACTCTTTTGGCGGTCGGCGCTGCTCTCTTTTCAGCCAAGAACGGAATTCGTTTAATTTCTTAAATTGAAATTATGGTAATTTCCTGCAGTCATGCGAGCCTTTTCATACCCGTTCGTGTTTGGACGGAAGCGATGACGAGCGGGTGCGGAGGTGGGCTTCTGATGGCTGATGGCTGTTAGCTAACCGAAAGTCAAGTTCGTGAAATTGAGGCCCAAGGCCCGAGGAGGGGCTCCTGTCCAGGTTTTGGTGGCCGCATTTACCACTGCAGCAGCACACCTCACGCCCCATGCCCCATGCCGCATGCTTCAATCCGAAGGTTAGTCCCGGCTAATCGATAGCTCTCCATGGCGATGGCCGGGGTGTTGATTTATGGCATTCCCAACGCACCGAAACCTGCTCCGGGATCCGACGAAAGTGACACATTAATGTGTTCAATTGAAGTGCGAACTGCCGGCCCTTTCTCCCCCACTTCCCCACCAGTTCATCTCGACAGGAAGACAGACAGAGCGGTCGGAAACAAAAAGCGCCCCTGGAGCTCTGGCAGTTTGTTAAGCTCGTTGTTCCCTCAATTGCTCCTCCAAGTGGAGCTCTTCGTTCGCCCAACACCCCAAAAACATGCACATTTCCAAGCCCATCAATCGCTGCGTATTTGCAGTGATGAGAATGGGTACATTCTTCAGGAATTTAAAATGTAGAAGGCATATGTTTAAGCTCCTCTATCGCTAAATAAACATCTGTAAAATATAACCTACTCATTTCTAACTCATTTGATAATTACATTTTTCTTCAGAAACAAAATGTTTTAAGAAATTTGTAGAAATGGGTAAACTTGTACCTAAGTTTAAAAATACTATTAAAAATTAACACTTACCTTACTGTAACATAGACTTCTATCCCATTTATCTGAAATAAATTAGCCCTAAAATGTGTACTTAGAAATACTTTTCTCAGAACTTTGATCAATAAATTGCATGGTTCACTTTTCAGCAATTTAATGACATCTTACTGTAGAGATTTTTAAATGAATAAGTTAAAAATAAACTTTTAAACATCGAATTCAGAAGCTGTACCTTTGCAAAGTAATAAGTACACATTTTTTAAAAAAAGGAAAACAGTTAGGTACTTCCCAGCACTGTCTTTCGATTACCTGTTGAGGGATGCGTGGCCCGAGGTCCTGAGTCCTTGTTACGATTTGTGTTCGCAACTCTGTGGCAGGATTTTGTGGACGAGTATCCGGTATGAGGCACTCGCTTCCTGGCCGACTAATCGATGCAGGATCAACTGGGGCTTACGGTTATGACATCGTTGCCTGCCTCCAAAACAACCACACTTATCCACTCCCGGGGAATGTGTATTCCTGCACACAGGGCGACCGCTAACTCAGTTTTTTGGTTGTGCGAGGCAAATACAACTTGGATCGAAGTCTGCGGCTCCAGCTCCACCGAAACCACGGCAATTTCTTTTCCCCATACGCACGAAACTGGAGGAAAATCGGTGGAATGGCGGTGGCACATCGAGGTTGCCGGGGCTGTGGCATGTAGATTGTGTTTGCCATTGCTGCAGCTCAAGTGTAAACATCATCTGGTGGCAAGGATGTGCGGACGAGCTTCCCCATAAAGCGGAGAATGTCTGCACAAACACAATTTTTTGTGAGATTTGATTTGATTTTAAGGAAGTTCAGCGTTGTCACACTTGATCTTAAAGTTTGTTTTGTTAATTAAAAACTCACATCTGAATTCTTATGCATTAGCGTTTATGACGTTAGAGAGAAAATTAGCATATGCTTAAATTTGTATTGCTTATAAGGAGTTTGGTATTGGTTTAATGCTATGATATGGTTTACTTATCTTTATCCAAGTGCTACAAGATTCAAAAAAACCTCAGTTTTAGACACTTGTCACAAAAGACAAATTAAATAAACTCAAGAAACTAAACGCATTCTTATTATTATGAAAATAAAAACCATTACTTTTTACAAATAATTCAGTTATATTAAAAATACATCATTTTAACAGCAAGCTTTTGAGAATCTCTTTCAAAGTGTCCTGAACTCGAGCTATTTTGCTCAGTGTACGGCTCCTTCCCATCTGAAATCCCCTTTGCTGCGATGGTGCATGTGTGTGCCTCTATGCGTTGGCTTATGGTGCCTCCCTCAACGTTGTATGCCTTTGATTTCATTTCACTTCATTTGATTTTGCTGTGGATGGAGGCGAACTCGCGGCTGCGTCGATACACAAGAGGCCAACCCGCCGCCCAATCCTCCTCCTCCTCCAATCCTCCACCTCCAATCTCACCTCCAACGTCATATCAATGGATCCAACCTCCCGGAAAACCAACGGCCTGGAATGACGGACGATGGCTTGACATAATTTCTGCTGCCTGATGGTTTCGGGTATAATGCAGTGGATTTGTTTAACTTACTATTGGAATAGGTTATCCATTTCACTTTAATTCACCAGTCTTACTTACCTATCAACTCCTTCAATAACAAAATAAAACACCAGTGAATGCATCTGTTTTGTTATGTTTTCTTTTTAATTTCTTTCAATAATATGTATGTCTCATTTATTATTCAATATGCGTTCTAGTTCTATTATTTTCCATTATTTCTCTCGTCATTATATATGTATAAATTAATGTCCATTGTTCAATGCGTGTGGTGTCCGCTTTAAATGCCAGACATGCTTTCAAGTTGATCGAATTTGTAAAACGAATTTCCTTGCACTGACAAAGCCAATTTGCGGTGTATAAAAAATCATTGTGCAATTCTCAAATTCAAATTTCCTTTATAACAACAATTATAATAACAATAATAGTAAGAAATACGCGAATGTTTATTGCATTATTTACTGTAACAACAAAACCAATTAACGAGCCCTGCTTGAGGGTGTGTAAAAATGGAATAATTTTCACGGCTTCTCCTCAGTTGGTTTTAATTTTCCTATTTGGTTTCCTTATCGTAGTACCTTTGCCCTCTTGCTGTGTCTTAAAAAATGTATTAAAATTATCTTAACTATCAAAATTATATGCACTTTGTTGTAGCTTCATTTGTCTCATTTGAGTTCGTTTTCAAATGTTTCTATTACCAATTTTCTAGTCAGCTTATATACATTTGTTGTTATTTGTGTTCTCCGTTAATTGTTTTTCCTGTGGCTTGCCTTGTCTTAACTATGAACAGTTTGATATTACAAATATAATGCAATTATCCTTGATGCCATCGGTAGCTATCTCCTTAAGTTTAGTGAGTGGCATTTACATGTATCTACATGAATATCAAAAAACTATGCAGGTTCCTCTAATTCCAACAATGTTCTGCAGCTTATACAAATAAATGTTAACATTCAATATCTCCTAATCTCTCCTCGTCCAAAGCCTCTGTATCTCAATGTGGAACAGAATAAGCGGTTTAGTTACAAATTGGGCGCAGCATGTCCTGTCCGGTGAGATGTGCCAGTGATGGAATGATTGAAAAACTCCTTTTGGAAATTAAATATTGTCAAGCACGAATGTGAGTGAGTGTGTGTGATCGGCCTCGAAATGAAACAGAATCATAATAATGTCAAAGTGTTAAGAGGGTGGGATTATCGGGGAGTTATCTAACTACAGTACACCTACACTGATGGGGAATCGTAGAAACTTCTATGCGAAATGTGCTCTGGCGTGCTGGTTGATTGGTGATTAGTGATTGAATCAAGACCGAGAAGTTACATAATTGCTTTTCGTAATTTTTTGTTGTCAACAACAATACTCAATAATATCATATTTCTCTATATATCATTCAAATGATCACAGTCAAAAAACGTTGATTATTGAATTATATTTTAAACATTTAAACCTTTACATTTTACTACATGACAAAGATTCGGTTTTCTCCAAAAAAAAAAAACAACAATAACTGTAACGCAAATACGAAAAATTTCATGACTGAAATTTGACCAAATTCTCTCAACTTGGGGCACTTTGTGAAGGGCATACGAATGTCGTCTAAGACGAACTTCATACCGATTTCTACAGCAAAACCAAAAGCGATTGATGGTCGGTCGTGGGTGTTACAAAATGTGGGCGGTTTCTCTATAAAATGAGGCGTGGCGTGGCGAGTCTACTTCTGTGTGGAGCGATTAACCGAAGCGTAAAATGTTTTCTGCCGCTGGCCGAATTTTCATTTGAATTTCCAATTGCATTTTCGTAACTTTATTTATGGTTGCATTTGTAGTTTGGGTTGCTTTTGCTTTCCTCGTGATTAGCTGAACATTTTATTGTATTTAATTACTAATGCATTACAAACTTATTCATTACCTAATGCAAAATTGTACACTTAACGTTAATATTCTGTTTTCCGTTTGGTTTCTCTTTCAGCAGTACAAAAATTATTCATTGCATTTTCTGTTTAGTGGTTTGTTTTTTTTTTTTGTCTCATTTTGCCTTTGCTTTCCATCCGTAATGGAATCATTTTAACTAAATTTACACATTGCCAAATTTGCATATTCGAATTCGTACAGGCACACATATACACATGTATATTGCATACGCGGCTAGAGATACAAATACACATGCCACTGCCGTAGCTTAGAACTAGACTTCGATTTATTTTATTAACCGATTAACACTTCTGTTGGTTTCTCCGTCTCCGTCGGCTGGTTTAAAAATCATTTACGCTAAAAAGTAACTAAATTTAATCAATCTTAGGAATTATTCAGTTGGATCAATTATTAATTTATGTGTGTGCTCGCTTGTGTCACATTAATCTGATTCATTTCTGTTCTGCTAGTTGCACTAAAACCTCTGATAGTGTCGGTCGTCGTGTCTCGAGCTCTTTGGCCATCTCCGCCCATCTTCCACATCCGTTCGAAGTTCGATTGGGTAGACACTATGCTGGAAGAACAAATAGAGTATCCTTGGCTAGTTCCGCAGGGTTCCGTATCAGGTTCTGCTAGAAGTCGCTACTCGTCGAGGGATTCCCTAGATTGCTCTCCACAGTGTCGTCCTTGTGTCAGAGGGGCGGCTTGTAGACTTCAATAGCAGGCGTGAGCATATCCACTCGCGTTGATATCGAAGTATCACTGTAATGGAAAGGAAACAAAGGTTATTGATAGTGCAAAATATCATCAAAAAAATACACTCAATTGATATATTAGTAATATTTAATAACATAGTACTTCATTTATTATAAAGCTTTTGCAAAAGCTATTAAATTTACAGAATCAAATACTATCTATTCGTGTTTTAACTTTATTGGTCAGATAAATTCGCTCAATTCATATATTGGTAATAATTAACAAACATAATTAATCTTAATAAGAATTCTGTAATTTGAATACTCCTATCTCGAACTTTAATTTTATTGGTCAGCTAAATTCGCTTAGAAAAATTTAATAAAATCGTAACAAGAAGCCATTTAAATCCGATTCCAAAAGATATTAAACTCAATGATTGAAAAACTCCTTTCTCGTGTTTCAACTTTATTGATCAAAGATCTGGGAAAGGAGTTTAACATTTCAGTGACTTATGGTATTGTCACAAATAAACTTCTTTGCACTTTAGTTTGCAAACATAAAAAGTTTAAAGACACATCGCAAAAGGGAAAAAGTAGTGGAAATCTAGCCAGTGCTTTTGTCTGCAGGGGCAAATGGAAAAGCCGAAAACTTTATCACACCGAGTGCAGGCAGACAGCTGCTACTTGCAACACGTTGAGCCATACAAACAACAAAGTCTAATTCCAGTCTCACCATCAGTCAACAGTGCCTCACTAATTGCATTGCACAGCCCTGGTATTACTTTCAGCAAAACACACATTTTAACGCAAGTTAGCTAATTTATAAAATTTATATAAAGTGTGCTTTTACGAATAATTTTTGCATTAATTTTTTAGAAATCTTGGAATTCTTATATTTTTAGTTTTTTAGTCAATTGATGGACAAATGTTTGAAATAGTAGATTTATTCTAAGTGTTTGTAATTGTTGTTAAGCTGCTATTATATTTATTTTTGCTCGATAAAATGTTATCATGCAATTCAACACTGCTATTTAATTTTACCTTAAATCGGTTTTTTGTTTCCCTTTTGAACGTAAACCTATTTGTATGCACCTGATACAATACACAATATGGCTGCAATGCGTTTTACTCAGCGGGAGTGAATGCTCCTGAGTCCTGATTTCATTTATTCGGTTCAATTGTTACATTTATTTTTTATACACACATATACATATTTTCCTTTCATTGCCTGACCCCTCGACCTACGACTGCCAGTTACTCTCTACTTCTTCGTCTGAATTTTCTTTATTTTCCCGCTTTTTCCCCATTTCTCGTTGGCTTCTGGCTTCTTTATCATGGGCACCCACTGGATTGGAGCTCCTTTGTTTGCTTGTTGCGGATTCGGTTTCGCATTGTAAATGAAATGGAATTAAATGAAATGTGAAATTTATTGTATTTAGGGGATTTCCATGCGACAAGCGCTGCGGAAGCGGAAGTGGATGGAGATTGGGTTTTGGGATGGAGCGAAACAAAGAAGAGAAATGCGAAACAATCGCCTTTTCGCTCACTATTTCAAATGTAATTTATACGCGCACTTATGGCATTGTTCGCTAGCTGTTCGCTTTATTGGCACTCTACTTTAGTTTTATTTGTGTTTACTCTCTGCTCCTGTCTATGATCGCATTCGTTCATCCATCTGACTGCACTTACCATCTCATATTGAGTTAAGTAAAAATCTCATTTCTTGAACGGAAGTTGTTCATGTTTTTTTGCATCTACCTCCTTGCAACACTGCAATTGGCTTTAATAAATTTCCATCCTTACATACTTAAATTCATACATCCACACCCACTTCTGTTGCCCAGTTCATAGAAAGTTGGGAATAGTTGCTACAAGTTCGGCTCTGGGCAAAAATAAACAAAACAGGCAAAAACTGAAAGATATTATGGAAACTTTCGAGTGTTGGCAACTCCTCGAAATGCGCTTAAGGGAAATAATTAAAACGAGAAGCTTAAAATGTTGAACTGAAATATGAATTGAAGAGATTATTAAGCGTATTTCCATGCTCAAACGGAAGTCTTAAGTCCAAATTTTGTTCCTTCATTAATATATACATTTTTTTCATAAATATTAACAGGGAAAAATTTTTAAAAATGCACCTATAGTTGTAGGAACAGATTTTTCAATTATTATCTTGAGCAGTATTATTATTATAATTGTAATAATTTCTGCTTATTGGAGTCAATGCAAGCTTTAAAGCAAATCATGTTTTACATTTATTTTCAAAAAATACAAATTCATTGATTCAGAACCTTTTAGACAAAATACACATTTTTTACCAAAATTAACTTCTGTGTGGCAAAAAAAAGATTTTTTTATATATAATAATATATACATTTCGTTAAATTGCAGTTTCTTTTTCCTTTTCTGAGCTTTTTTGTTACACTTAAATGTTACTGAAAAAAAACTGTCTTTTAACTGCCGAAACTAACTTTCCTTTTAACTATGCATTTAATTTAATTGCTTTATTTCCTGTGATTGGACACTATTCAAACACATGCCAAAGTGCCAGAGCTGCTGAGTGCTCCACTTTGGGGTGAAGATAAGAGTTAGGAGGCGGACACCATCTGGCGTTGACCATTCATCAGCATGAAAAAAGGATGCGGATGCAGTTGCATTAGGGGAGCACCGAAGGACAAGACAGGAGCCCTCATCTCATGGAAAGTGGGCAAAATGTTGCCAAGCTGTTGAAACTGTGTTCCAATTAAAAATGCAACAAATTCGAGCACGAATTTCTGGCATGCTGCTGCAACTGCAATTGAAAATACAGTAAACACTTTATATACGCACATTTATAAAAGTAACTTTCTTTTAAATAAGTCTTATTTTTGTAAAGAAGAAAAGAGAAGAATCAGCTTCGATGTAATAGTATATACAAGATAATAATTTTTAATAAGTAATGTTTAATTTAATAATGTTAAAGATTAAAAAAGAATAATTAATTTTTTTTTATATCAACAGCTTCTTTAACACCATATGCTTTTTGTAAAAATATTATAGATTAGTTTATAACATAGAATGCTTACTGTATAAAGGATGCCCACGCAATTAAAATGCTTTTTTTAATTGCATTTAACATGGAATTAGTTTCGAGAGCTATAAAAACCATGAAAAGCTGGTAAAGTGCCTGCGGTTATCTGTCGGTTGCCTTGTGTCACTTTGTAGCACGTGTGCATACATATAAAACTTGAACTATTCCATTGAATTTATGATTGAAATCGATTGCGAACATGCATATTGCAGAGTAGATTTGAGGAGGAAAACGGTAGCAATTGATTAAAACCATCTGATTTCCTTTCAGTTCCAGTTCCCACAAAACTTTGTCAAAGTTTTGCCTTAGCCAGGAACTCATTTCGACCCAAAACCAAAGACGCAGGAGATTTCTGTACTAACTCCACAAAGCGGACAGGCACAACAACTTTATGCAATTAACTCCCATCCAACTGGCCAACCTGGAGGCCAGAGGAAGCTTATTACAAACGACAACAGGCAATGTAAATGCCAACTGGCAGTGCGAAATGGCCAAAGGCATCACCGCCACTTGGCCAAGACCAGGAGCCGTCATCCGTGAGGAGGAAAAGCTGGAAAACCAGGTCAAAACAGGTGTGTGTGTGCAGGTTCGACTGGGAGTGGCAGAGGCGGAGGTGGAGTTCGAGTTGGAGGCCGCAGGACGCAGGACTGCAAAACTTCCCAATGTATTTAATTTGAAAATGCGACAGTGACACTGCGGCGTGCTGAATGCTCGGTGTAAATTAAATTACACGCGCCACACCTTCCCGGCGACTTGGGGATAGGCCGGCCAACCCGAAACAAGGTACATTAAATTTTCATTTGGCCAAAAGTCCCACAAACTTTGGTAACAAGTCGCAGGCGCTGCAAGGACATCAGCCTTGGGCGCGTGAAAACAACAACAGGCGGCGATACACAGAGAAAAAACTATCACAGGCCAAGACAGTGATTGTAAAATAAAGACGAAATGAAAAAGAAATTGAGTTCTACAAAAAAAACTTAAGCTAATACGAAATTCAGTGGAACCTCCATCACTCAAACCAACATCTGGCACACTTTTCACGTGCATTTATACACTATATTAAAACCCACTTCTAGGTTCAACTGAATAGGAAAGTTTGAGTTATGGAAGTTCTCATTATTATATCATTTAGTGTTGTTTCAAGAACTTTTAACAATTCTTAATTATTTTGCAATATGTTTATAAAAAACAAAATATAATTGTTTTTTAATAATCAAAATAGCTGCTAAGTCATCTGATTTTTGTTTGTAACAAAAAGGAAAATGAACCAATGTTGAATAAAGGTCTTTCGTACGAATAGAATTGAAAAAATAACTTTGGCTTTCGTTTTTTTTAATGATAAATCTCAAATAAAAAACTAAATTAACCTGAGGTAAAGATATAAAATGCAGGTCTCAAATCAAGAACTTTGCCTTCAAATTTAGTTCAGTGTGCAGATTCAACTATAGAGATATAGATACAACTGGCAGGCGGTCTGATTTCAGGGGTGCGAAAGTGGGGATCAACTCAGAGGTCAAAATGCTGCGGGCTCGGGGCTTTGGGCTTGGGGCGCGTCACCTGGGCCGGAGCCAGAATCTCTGCTCCTATCCAAATCCGCAGCCTGCAGGCGACAAGTAAACACAAACGTCCACACCCGAAGCAGCCAACCCAAAACGCCGGAACACCCTCACAAAACTGACAAGTGTCGGGTAGAGGTGGGACTGGGAGAAACTTAAAATCTCATTAGTTACATTTTTGAGAGGACACGAGATTTGGCTGTCAGTTCGGAACAGCAACAACTTGAAGTTTTTGGCGCCCAAGTTGACTGGGAAATCGGAAAATCTGTGCAGCTTGGCAAACCGTTTCGGGATTCACTTTGCCAGCCTGACCGCGTTTCTTTCGACTGTGTAAGTTTGAACTGATAAAATCAAATTCTTTCAGTGGTTGCAAAAGTTTTTCCTTTCAAACCCAAAGTCCCCCAAAATTAAGAACTAAGAATTTTGGTTTAAAAATGTTTA